AAATACGTGCGTATTTCGTTCCGGAATATTTTATGCCGCGGGGTGTTGCGACGAATAAATAGAAAATCGCGATCGCGAAATTTTACTCGTACCCATCTCTCTTCGTAGAAATTCAAAGCATAACTGAATTTCGACGAAATTTGCAACATTGCGACTATTTCGAAAACTCATATGCGAAAGTAAACGAAAATATATTCATTTGTAAGTTTTAATTAAAATTCACTCAATGCTCGATTTCTCAGCAATCTTATTATAAATATATATATAACATAGTACAACACCTTCCGTTACCTATATAAATATAAAATTCTTTTTAATCCCAATAAATTCGCCGCAAGCTATGAACCAGAGAGATAAATGGCGCGCACGTGTTATGTTCCAATTTCATTCGTAACAAATGTGTCCGCACGATCATCAAATCGTGTGCGCCATAAAAAAATGTGCCACCGCGGGACAATTCATTCAATAACACGTGGTGTCCCTATTTCACGGAAAAACGGGAGGGCACCTGCGGCCTCGTCCGCCGGTCACTTCCTGTATCAGCCTGGGGGTAACCAGGTTAATCCTCGATTGACCCTCGTATGCGCAGGTTGGGCCCATCCCGACGAGAGAGAGAAGGAGAGAGAGAACAAAGAGAGAGAGAGAGAGAGAGAGAGAGAGAGAGAGAGATTCCGGCACGCGACCAGAACCGCAGAGAGCAGTGACAAAAAGGTCGGTCGTCACACAGAGGCACATAGCGCGCGTGTGAGCGAGTTGGACGGGCTTCTTAACATAACTTTCTCTGGGGAGGAGGAGGTGCCTTCCGTAAGGGCCTGTTCGTGAGAGACGGGCGACTCTTCCTCGGCCCTTTAACCAAGTCCCGGGGCCCCCAGAACGACAGGTTGTCGATAGCCCGTTACGAGCTGTCGACCTACGCGTCGATTCGCGCGGCTGTCGGATCGTTCGATGTGATAACGACGTTATCGAAATTATATCTGATCCGGCGAGAACGTAAACGTGCAATAAAGAAATCGTTTACCGCGGAGAAATACATGGTTAAATGAAATAAAGAGCGGAAGCGCGCGATTTATCCAGATCGCGTAGAATTTACCTATCTGGCTTGAGTAAATGAATATTTGATACTCAGTTAGCGCACAGCGATCAAGTGCACAGTAAAGGTAATTTATATTTTATTTCAGATTCACATATTCATTCTCGCGTGTATCTGGCACCTCGCTCTCACTTTGCACATCTACGTTCGAGTGCATTAATAATTCGACACTCGCAAGAATTATGTATCGTAAACTTACAATACGCAAATCCTATTGCGAAACTCTCTACGCTTAAATCGTCGATATTGCATCACACTTGCGAATGCCACTTTTTGTGATTGATAATCATGATTTCTCCAATCATCAACAAAAGACACACACACACACACACATACATACACACGACGTTTTCACGTCGGTTTACCGCTGTAACTTCTCTCGGCAGACTATCGGCGTGAGTTAGTACACAACTTTATACCGTAATTGAAGCTTTGATACGATACTAATTTTATACGGATACACACTTGCGGACGTGTAACGCGATAGTTTGCCTCACGTAAACTTCAGGGAGAAAAGGGCGGCTACTGCCCTTCGGCGTGGCCCTCAGGTCGGAACGACAGGTTGTCGATAAACACAGGTACCCATACGTTGTACTGAGCCGCATCGACGGCTGCTTCCGGCTTCATCGAACCAAAGTGTTTCGTCCACTTTTGTGAATACGCTAGCGACCACATAGTTCAGCTTTATCGAACGACGATTTGATGTTCGATCAATTTGACAAGTCGTTACTTTAGAGAAGAGTAAAGACTATGTGAGATTCTAAAACTTACCGAATGTACTATAAAACTTGTATTGGCATTGTATTTATTCGCATTTAATTCTAATATCTGCAGATAAAAACGCAATCTATATTTAGATTATAAATGTATTTCTCAACAAATATAGCTTGATATTACTTATGCTAATTATTAGTACTAAATTCGTTTATCTAAGCAGCAGAAACTTTAAGTCTTTTGGCAATTAATAAATTTTTAATGTATTTTTAATGGAGTTTAAGCAATATACTCTAGGTATATTTTTTTGGTAAAATATATTCTCTTAGATGATTTCTTTAAACTTGTATAAAATTTACATATTCATTCATTTTTATACAAATTCTCGTTTTAAATTAGATTGTGCATATTATTGTATTTGCGCGTTATATATTCGACGAAAAGTGAAAATATTTCAATAAATAAACTTCGTACTTCAAGGGATGATTTAACGTAAAATCTCGCGCTGCGAGGAAGCTCTCGCGTTCCCATGAAGCCGGCGATGATAGAAGGAAAGGGAGGAGATGCATTCTCGCGGAATATAGGTCGACGATTCAACAGAGTCCCGAGGATATCCTGCCTATAGATTGGCGAGAAGAAGAGGAAGGAGCGCAAAGTGCGCTCATGAATGAGGAGCCCCGAGGACCTTATCCAGGATTCTGTGCACTTGCGCCCCGCCACCGGCCCACCCGGAGACACCCCCTTCCGGTTGGGCGATTTTATGGGTTTGCCGACCGCCGGATACCCCGACGAGTGTCGTCTTAAATTTTCGGAGAGATTTTCCTATCTCTTTTGTTCGCGACACCGATAATTATGAGTAAGAGGAACAATACATGAATTAGGGGACAAAACAATGGACACAAAAAGTTTTCATGTAGACGTAAAAATTCATTATGACAAAATTGAAAACGGATTGAAAAATTGTAAGCTCGAGATCAAGATAGAGAGACAAACATATATATGTATTATTACCTCAAAATATTCGAAAGTATTTACAAATTTAAATTGTAAATTTTCAAAAGATTACATCACGAAATAAATAGATATCTCAAAAATTTTACATCGCGTTATTTCATAAAATATCGAAAATTTCGTGCATTATATAAGAAAACTATTTTAAATTTATTAACTTTTAACAATGTTTTGATTAAATTTTTTAAATTATATTCGTAAATTTGTAATAATTTTTGAAAATAATGTGTTTATAGCAAGAAAGATGAAACAGAATTTAGAAATTTCGTTACTCCAAAAAGGGCTGTTTTTTCGTCCGTAGTTGTTTCACTTTCAGATCTTCCGCCACCCAACGAGCCAGTTTCGTTTTCACGTCCATCAAGATTTGCCCGTAAAACGGATTTCACCGTGACAATACACGCGCGAGTCGTTTTTTTTCTACCGCGACGCAGATTCCTTTAACCAGGCATAGAGGCAACCCTCAGTAACACACATGTGCGTACAGGAGCAAGCGAGAGGAACGGCACATGAAAGAGGGAGAAAACGAGAGCGAGCGAGGAACGAGCGTATTTTCGGGAAAAAGGATTCCGTGGGAACGTGGGGAGAGCCAGCAAGAGTTGGATTTCGTGAAGAGGAGACCGTCCGTGCGTGTTTGAAAATGATCATCGATGCGGTGGGAGGGAGGAGGAGGGGGAAATAACTTCGATGGATAGGGGAAATGAAAAGGTCGTCGCAGATTTTTTACGGTTTCAGAACGAAACGAGATCACTCTCGTTAAGGCGCGCCAGGGTGCTTCGAAGGATAAATTATTGCAAAGAAACGTAACGACGGGTTCTGATAGTCTCTGTGATCGGCACGTTGAGAAAGGGTTAAAAATGAATGCGGTAAAAAAGAATAAAGAAATCGTATTCAGAAAGCGGCGTACAGAGATCCTAAAAAATGTTCTTCGTAAAAAGAGCTACTTTCACAATGAAATAGAACTTTTTTGTGATTCTTTGAAAAAGGGTTGACACTGATCTTCTTTCTCGTAAAGTAGCTCATAAACCAATTAGTTGTTCGACCTTTAAACAATTTCTCTGTAATAAATAAAAAATGACAATGAATAAAAACGAAGTAAAAAAAAGGGTTAAATTATTTCCTGTTTTGCAAGCAACGCATAAAGTATAGAGAAAAAGATTGTTTTATTGCAAATAAATATTCTTTTGAAATGTTTTTATTCTTTGTCAAGGCAATACAAAATTGGCTTTTTGTCTTCGCAATGTAATGTTTTAATTTGTGATTTAAGATGCGATTCAAAGAAATTTTTCTCATCGCGTTGTATAACTAACACTAAAGTTAAACTTTCTTAAGACGGTACAGTCGGATCTAATATTCAATTTCTTAAATCAGGTCATGGATCATTTTCATATTTCACCTAATTTCAACGAAATGACCGTATCAGCCTTGAGTTTTACTAAAATGATCTTAAAGTGTAACGTCGAATTGTGAATGCCAGCCGTAATACAAGTACAAATAATTTTTCGAGTCTTTCGTAGAATTGAGTCGATAGATTGAGACCAATTTCGCTAAAAAACCGAATTTTTTCTGTGTAAATCGAACATCGTGAGGACATGTGTCGACGTGACATGAAATCCTGGCGAAGCTATATCAAATTTCCATGGTTTCACATGCGCACCAGAGAGAACGCATCTCTGGAAAATATGTACGCATGTGCAGCCGAGCACGCGCGAGTGTAGCGCAGACGAGCACAATTCTATTGTCGGAGCGAATCCCTTGTTTGCTCGAATATCTGGCGAGCAGCTGATTGGGATTTTCGAACTGTCAGTCGACCGTGGATTGCACATGGCGAGTCCCTTTCGTAATGATGATGCTCTCATATTTGCGATCGAGATCGAGAACGAACAAAAGCGTACAGATTCGGAGAACGGTTTTTATCGGGCATATTCAAATTTTATATTTATATAATTAAAGTAAAGTAAATGAATGAAAAGAATGTTTGATTTAAATCAATAATTATAAAATAAAAATTTTTAAAGAATAAAATTTCGGTAATAATACAATTTAGACAAAGTTAAGTCCTATTCTTTTCTTATTTGATTTTTCAATCTTTCGATCTGTTTCAGTTCTGTTGCGCAATAACGACGAAGCGTCTCTTAGGACGCGATAATTAAAAACAAATAAAGAGATTTATATGCATGAAACTCACCAGACTGGCGTGAAGAAGAGGAAGATGAGCAAGGTACGCTAACGAATGAGGAGTTCCAAGGATCTGACAAATGCACCACTGTCGTATTTTCACTACATTATGACGACTGCTCCAGTAATCTAAACATTTTTAAAAAATGTATTAAAAGATTCTTATATGTGCAAATGTTATAATCAATTTTTTTTTGCGGTTCTGCGTTAATGATCATCTATCTTACAAATATTCCTATATACTCACTCGCGTCTTAGCGAATATTTTATTTTATTTTATTAAGATGTTCGCTATTCTAATTAAAAGTTTTTTTTTTAGACTAACATAAATCAAGGAAGGCGTCCGTCTTTTTGATGAAACTATTGCGAGAGGGACGCTCACGGAATACCAAATTCCGATTCGCGGGAGATCGGCAGAAAAACACTGAATTAGATACTTACTTAATATTGTCACTAATGGGCTATACGTGGACGACTCTTCCCGCCCGACAAGTCCGACAAAAGGGAGAGAGATCACCCCAGCGTCAGGTTTATTTAATACAAAGCTGGCGCGGCGCGTGCGGGATGGCAACTCGGCTGGCGCCAGCTGCGGGGGTGGCGACAACCTGTTGAGTCAGACAATATCGCGTTTTTACTAATGCCACATCGTCGTTCCGACACCGAGGATTCGGACGGGTGGGGCGGCGAGGGGGAGGGGGGGGGCGGAGGGGGTGGCCGCATTTTTGCCACGGTCCCAACTCGGGATCGTTATGATCGAGCCACGGATTATTAACCCCGCCTGCAAATACCTGCAAATCCGCGGACGCGTATACCTTTGCATTCGGAAAGCGGCGAAACGCGGAGGCGAAGATATAAATAATACTATTCCCTTCAACCGCGCTTTAATACATATATCGAATAATTTTGAAACAATGTCGCACGATCGCCAGCCTTGTATTAAATAATGATGATAAATGTATAATATTCGTGAAATATATTTACGTACGAGATTCGAATCACGTTCGATCACGAACTCCGAAGCGAAATTCTCGGAACTTGTCGAAATGGAGTGTATACGTATTCCAATGACATGACTATAGGCTGTGTTTACGTACAACATGACCAATATTTTCTTCGATACTTCCGTGTTCAATGATTTTCGTGCGAAACAGGCGGAGATCATCGCGCGAAGCAAACCTTATGTACGCAGGTTATGTGTGTTACGTCGCGACGCGTCGCGTCGACACTTCGATATGCCGCAGATATGCGGCAATATTTCGATAAAATACATGCCTGATTGCTCGCAGCATGTTTACCGGTGCCTCGTAGATTGCCACGAAAGGACTGATTACGCGATCGACTTTCGACTTTCGAGATGCATTCGCGCAATGATAGGTATTTGAGACGCGGTGGCAAACGATGTTTACGTGCCCCGTTCCGTTTTCGGTACTACTAGCGTCGAGCGTCCGTCTAGCGTCAATCCGGTCAATTCGCTAATTCCGCTAAAACAACGTCCGCTAAAACGGAACGACGGAACAGTGAAATCGAACCGCGTGGGGACGCCGCCGACGCGCCGCGGATCGTGTTTTTGTTATCGCCGGTAAAGGTCGCAGCATGTAAAAGCGTAAACAGTCATATCAGCGTGTTTGATTTGATACTGTTTATGTTATTGCCTTATGTTTTCGACTGTGCGACAGGCCTATTCGCTTGATGCTCACGTCTCACTGCTTACGTTTTTTCTATGCCACGGCCTTAACCTTTACGGGACGGGAACGCCAATGTATAATTGGTGTTACCTATTTTTATTGCGAGCATACGTAAGTTCTATAACTATTCTTATCGTTAATATTAGCTTAATTGTTCTGCCAAACCCCTCTAATACTGAGATTAACAATATAAACAAAATTTGATGTATACGCATGTACTATTTGAATTTGGAGTAAAAAATATTTACGAAAATTTTTTTCTTTCCTATTGTCAAGCAGGGTAATGCAAGTGCGGTTTAATTTCGCCATTCCTTCGTTTCGCTGTTCGGACCGAGTGACCGACGCTAATGCTGAAAACAGATTAAACGGAACGGCGAGCGAGTATCATCGCGGCGCGCAGTGTCTCGAAAGTATATCGCATTGATCGTGTAATCACTCGTGGCAGCAATCTATGGGACACCGGTGACGTATGTGCCGCAAGCATGCAGGTATGTATTTTATCAAAATATTACCGCATATCCGTCAAAGTATCAATTACTCCACGCGATGTAACCTTTATAAAGGTTGTGTTTCGCGTCGAGAGTCATTGAATTTAATTGAACAAATCATAGCTTTAATCATATGAATATAGTGTCGAATGGGTAAACATTTAATAATTTTTAGAAATTTAAATTGAAATCATTTTTATTTTAATGCGCCTAACTGATTTGCGAAAATAATAATAATATAAATGATTTCTATCTTAATTTGAACATTAACTTAACATTAATCTAAAATTGGACATGCATCTTATTAATATTATACGTAGTTTTTTAAATTTCAATATTGCGCTGACAAAAAAAAGGAAAAACGAATTAATAATATTTAAGCAATATTTTTAATCTCTTTTCTTTTTGGTTTAATCGCTATAGATTTAAATTAAATAATAAAATATAGACATTAAATTATACTATTTTACTTTACAAATTTGTTTCTAAAAAGATTAATATAATATTATTGATGGAATATAATATTTTCATTCCATTTTAATAATAAAAAAATTATATAAATGGAAACTTTTCAGACTTGGAGTTGCGGAAGCAGAGGAGCAGTATCGAAATTGCAGCGCTCGGTGAGTTTTACATTATATGCATGTAATACGTTATACGCAAATAATATCTTCTCTCTATGGGAATTTAATAATATTGCGATAAGAATCGTACTTTTCCATCTATGATTATTTTGAATTATTAATTGAATAATGAAAAACATTTAAACGTTTAGTTATCGAGAGAAAAATTCAATAAAAAATTTGTGGATAGGTTGAAACATTTAATTAAAGATAATTAATTAGCATATAGAAAGCGCTTTATAGATAAGCAGCATAAAATAAATTTATACCTTATAAGCAGAAATTTATTATTAAAATATAAAATAAATTTATATTTTAATAATAGATAAGGTAGTTAATTGGTTATAATAACTAAGAAATTTCAGTGAAAAGCGTGAAAACGAAAAAAAAAAAATATTAAATTTGAGACAATCGTTCTAAATTACATATGGTATAAACTGAAAATAATGCTCAAATAATACATTAGATTTAATATTTTGAACGTATCACGGTCCTTCTATTTCCATGACTGTTATGATTTATTCTATTACTATCTGTTCGATGATAAGTCAAGTTCTTGAATTTTAATTCTCTGTATTCAAAATTAGCGTTATTAGATAATATTCACTGTTACATTTAATATATACAAAATGGACTTCAGATTAAATAGACACATTTTTGTTTATTATTAAATTAAATAATAAAGTAAATAAACGATAGAGAGCAATATGCAAATTGAATACGATTAGATAATACGATAATCTTTAATACGATAATCTTTATTGGGCGGCCTATAAAAGTACATGTGATAATCTCATGTATCTTTAAACTCAAGATAAACATACTTTTATTTTATTTATCCCCACTATGTTTTTATCTCATTATATGCTCTGTATATTCGAGACAAAACTCTTCCATTGCTTATCCCATGTAAATGTTCCGGACCGTGCAATGCTTGCTTAAACCGCACATAAGAAGGTCGTTAATTAATTTAAATTTTACGCACATCATTTATTCTTATAAGCTATGATTTATTCTTCAAAATTTGCGATCGTCTAATCTATATATTCTTGATTTATTACTATTTTTACATTAAAGTCGAATTTATTTTATTAAAATATATCTATTTAAAATCTGTTTATAAAAATGTAATACTTAAAAGGTATTTATTGATATTCGTCAACATTACTCGATAATTTTTAACTACAACGAAAAACCGCGTAACTCATTGTTGGTTGAAAAGATTAATGATCAAGAATTCTTCTTTTTATTTATATATTATACTGTTACTATATGAAACTATTTCTCCCTCTTCGCTATTATTGCGTCGGTTTTTTTACAACAATCGAAAAAAAAACGGTCATTAGATATGAATTCATGGAATTTATCAATTCATGAACTCGCGACTTCATACGTGTCGAGCAGCCGCGTGTCTATATGTAAAATTCAAGTCTTGCTTAATTTTACATGATATTGTTACGACTAAATGATATAATTCGAATGTAATGACAAATACATTACATACGAAATTGAATGAAATTATTTATTTTACTGGGGAGTAGCTTCTATTTTCATTCCATGCGTTATTATTGTCGTGCGACGGTTAAACGCTGTTTATCGATCTCTGCGTATCTTTCACGGACGCGTCCTTCCGACGATTGTTGTGTATGGGCCTCGGAACGTAGATAAATCTTCGAAACGGCGAGCAGAGCACCTACGGCGGGGTGTTCTCTGCTATTGAGCCGATCTCTCCAGGGCCGTATCCATCGATCTATTCAAGTTCACGGGAGCATGTCCGTGTGGCGCGGATTCGTGAGGCGAGTACCGAAAAGGGAGCGGGAAGAAGCGCGAGGGAGAGGAGACGAATGCACCGGCACCAGTAAGGACCAGGTGCATCCACGGGAGCCTGGGAAGCGCAAACTACGGCGAATGAAATGCCGGCAGATGCTACCAAAGCCGCATCCAGAGAGAACGGGCCCTCCGCGTCGCCCGTCTATATATGCACAAGGCGCATCCCGTCTAACGTCGCCGACTTTGTTTGCTTAACGAGTACGTCGCGTCGGTGCATTCGAGCTCCGGATTCGTTTCCTCTCCTCCTGAGCGCCGGCCAATCGCGGAAAATTGCCCCAGGAACCGTGGGTTCCTGCCAAGGCACGTTACCATTCTCAAATTATTCTGAATTTATTTATTACAGATAGGAAGTATATATCATTCTTTTATTCATTTTAGCGTAATTATAATGCAAGACTTTATGTTGTTAGTACAAGGATATTGTTTAAAACTTGCGGGAGGAATACGATTCAATCGAATTATGAATTATTCCTGACAATGAGTGAAAATTGTTTCCAGATTATGCTCGTGTGTCTTGGTTGTGAATTACAAAAAAATCCATATTGATTGTCTCGATTTTTTCGAATAGTCCTAATTTAGGATATTGCCAAAAGCTCGGTCACGTTGCCATTCATCATGTTCGATTGCGGCGTAACGGGCCTGCAAGATTTTTTTTCTTTTCCTCTTCACCTCATTTTCTCCCCTCTCTCGGCCGCAGATTGAAAGTGTTGCTCAAAAATAAATGTGCCGTTTCGCATTACGTCCGGTCGCGCGCGCTGTTTCGTCACGTATTACGGACTTTCTCTGTAACTTTCACCGTGGCCATTATGAACAATCACGAGCGAACGATCGTCTTTATTATTTGCACTGTATACTCGCGCGATTACGCAATCGTTCGAACTGCTTTCACGACACCACGTGGGCCATTTAAGCGACGTAGTAACTTGGAAAAGTAGGAAATGTCGCTTTTAATTATGCATCACATTATTTAATCAAGCGGAAATTAAACGAGACTATACCTCATATACCTCGTACTACATAAATCCGTGAAACTTTCTTGTTATTATACTTGAACATAATCGTGTCTTGTTGACAAAAAAACGTTTCGCATTAAATCGTTTATACGTAAACGCTAAAATTATTGCAATTTTCGTGAAATTCTGATAATTATTTCGTATAATGTCTCGTAAAATTGAAAGCAGCATATGTGTCGAACGACCCCAGAAACGTCGTCTAGAATTTGAAGTCAGCGTTACGATGACGAATCAAACGTACGGCGTGACTTAGGAACGATCCACCGCGACTTGCCATATGTTCGACATAAGATCTTTTTTGTCTAGAATGTGACACTTATTTCTGTCACAGGTTCCTTCTTCTTCCAAACTAATTTCACGTAACATTTTTAAACTTTATGTTATTTTACAGATAAAATAAATTTCGATTTTTCCATTTTTCTTAATAAATAATTTATCTTACAACATTTGTTTTATAAAGCATAACATTATAATTTGACTAAAAAGAAAAATAAATTGAGGAATTTAAGATATCAGAAATTTAAAAATTTCTAAGTAAATTCTAACAATGTTTAGAGATACAAGTATTCTTACGAAGCAAAGATTTTAACATTATACTACGCAACGAAGGTGATAATTGAGGCCTTGACATGAAAAAGTAACATAAGTGACAAAAATGAAATTTAGATAGAAGTAGCGCAAAGCAACTGTAAAAATAGAAAAAACATCAAGTGAATATTTTTTGAACTTATATTTAATATATTTTTATAAAATTTATAATATAATTCTTATTGTCTGTCTTAAGA